GAGACATTTTCAGAGTGATGAACTTGAATTTACCAGTTTCATGTAAAAAGAATTTTATATAGGGTTAGGGTTAGGGTTATTAATTTGTGAAATTATAATAAACTTGTCTCTTTATTTAAAAAAAAAAAAAATTCTTTACAAAATAAAAATGTTATGGTTTTATAAGTTACAGGTTTATATTTAATTCTCGTCACTTTATATTAGTTGTCTAAATTAACAGTAATTCTTTCTAATTTATTGCATATTTTCATGTATTTCAGAAATATTGGGGGAAAAAATCTGTAAAACAAAAAGGAAAAATTCCCTAAAATTACTTTTTAAAAAAATAAAAATTACAGCGTATTAAACCAAAGCAACACTACAGAAAAACAGTTCAACCCAGTCTGCATACTGAACCAGAACTCAGACCCTCACCTCGACTCACCAGAGTCCAGGGAGCCTTCAGGTGCAGCCGCTGCTCTACAGGTGACCTCCCTGTCTGCTCCATGCTACCTGGACAGCATTCACCCCAGCTACCTCCTCCTCCTCTGCCCCTCCGTCCTCCTCGGGCAGCGTCCCCCTGGTCTGATCCATCCACCACAGCTCCTCTGACCTTTCTACGAGCACTCGGAGGGGAAATTACCCCCCAGCCTGAGCTCTAAAACGCTTACATAAGCTACCTTAGCTCAAGCCCCCCGTCGGCACCGTTCTGCGCCGGAAAAGTTTCTATAAACAGAGCAGCTCGAGGGAACCGTTTAATCTGTCAGTTATTTGTTTGAGAAGCAGTTTGAGCACCATAAAATAATGCATAAACAGATATAAAAACCAAGCAAAGTGAGTGGGATTCATCCTCTGGGAACCAGGAAAAAGCTCATAAAAATGTGTCATTCAGTGACTTTCTGTGTTTTTGGAAAACACAAAAATATTAATAAAATTACAAAAATGGACGAAATTTACACAACTAATCTAAAGTGATGTAACAAAGCTGTAACTTAGAATAACCATAGAATATTTTTTTAACATAAAAAGACAGATTTATCATAATTTTACCAATATTTCCTTTATATTTAATTTATGAAACTGTCAAATCTAATTTTAATACTCTAGATATATTTCTAAAATATATGCAACTAGTGACAATTAACAGAAAAGAGATGCATTTATTCTTTTATGTCACATAAATTTGTTTGTTAAATGAGAGATATTTTTATAATTATAGACGTTTTTACAGCAAAAATGTTGAATGAATGAGTTTTTATCATTATATATCATATTATTATAGGCTATTTCAATGTTTTTACACATGCTATATCCTTTATTAGACAATAAAAAATATACATTAAACTAAGGTTATTATTTTCTGGAATATTATTGTTAAGTTTTCCCCAATTTACGAATTGTTTAGTTTGTGGAAAGTTTAAAAAAACAAAAACAAAGTGAGGTAAAAATGCCCATCGTGACACAAATACATTCAGTCTGTATAAAACATCACAGCAGTCCAGCCAGTAGTTGGTTGCTTATTAGAAATTGTTCCATCAAGCACAAACCCAGGTAATAGCAGCATCACTCTGAGCTCTGTGTGGACGTAATGTGCTGCAGCAGCACATTGTGGACTGAACGTGCGGAGCTCATTTTAATGGACAAAGCAGAAGAGTCTAGATGAGAGTGATCAGGACGAGCAGCCACATCTCTGTCCACCGTCTGCATGATCTGCACACCACCAAATTTAGTCTGAGCCTCACTCCCACAGCGCTGCGTTCAGGGCCCGCTGCGTTGCTTTTCATTACAGATACTGAAGTATGATGGCGAGCTCAAGTGTGTGGGCTTGAAATTGACTGACTTCATCCAGAACGAAACAAGAACACACAAGTCGGTAAACATCAGAAGACACACTGTTGGACAGATCAATAACAGGTGAACATTTAGGTCTAGGACAAACTCACTGTTGCTTGGATTTGCATTGTGAATATATATAGACGGTGTTTTATAAGCGTACATGTGTCAGACAAAGAGTCCGAAGCTGGAAATGTTTGTCATTGTTCCTGATTGGTGCTAATAATTTATCACATGATGAATTATATAATCGAACGATTGTTTTAGCTTTAAATCCCCCCAAAAATGAGCAAAGTCCAGCAGCATAAGATGGTCTAAAACTCAACAACAAGTGAGGAACACGGCAAAGGAGCTGAGATTGCTAGCAAAAAACAGTTCACCTCAAGATGTATTAATAATATATTTACATCACACACAAGTAATATAACAAAGGTGACACACTGATGTGAAGCTTGTGCAGTAGCTTTAAAATTTGGGTTAGGAGTAGGTGAGAAAAGATAAAGACATTCACAGCAGATGAGATATTAATGCTGAAAAATTAGTCATTTAGTCAATTTCCAGTCAAAAACAGGAAATTAAATTGTCATTTTCTGCTTTTCTCTGTCATATATCAAAGTAAACTCAATGGATTTGTGTCACAGTGGGCATTTTTGAACTTTTAACAGACTAAATAATTAGACAAGTAAATTGAAAAAAACAATCTTCGGATTAATTAAGAATTAAATTAACCATTATTTACAACCATGCACTATAAAATCTGAAATAATATTTGTAAAAAAAAAAAAAAGAAATGTTAAAAAAAGTAGTAATAACAATATTCCAGACTGCAGCAACAATAAATAAATTATAAAAAATAAAAGCAAATATTTTTTAAAAAAATAGCAAAAAAAATATTTTTTAAAAATATACATTTTTAAAAATAACATTAAAAATATATATATATATATTTTTTTTTTTCATTTTATATGATGAATTGTGTTATTGACCAGTTGTTTCAGTTATAAATCTGAAACAATCAAGCAAAGTCGACCTAAACAAGACGGTCAACAGCTCAAGAACAAGTGAGGAAGTTTGTTTTTTAGTTTCCACTGTAAGCAAAAAAAAAGTTGTTGAGGTGAACACATCTGCTTGCGGTGAATTTCAAACAAGTTTCACAACAAGATTCAGATGGAAAGAGAGACCTTTGGACACGTGTACTTCCATTTTCACTTTTAACTAGTGCTTGGCTTCTTCCTCATTTACAGGAATCAGTGTTTACAGATGTGACGTCTCCTATTGCACGTTAAATAATCTGGGACTTTTAATTTTTTAAAGGTCCCTTTTGCTGCAACATTATCAAACATCCACGAAACAAATCCAGCACAGCCAGTTGTCAGCTACGACGCTCGGTCTGAGTGGGGTGACAGGACTTTAAGAAGTGTTAATCCTGTTTACAAGATTAAGACAAATCTAGCTTTCCCTGTCTCGGCACGTTTCTCCCGCGCACTACGTCCAACGTGAGTCTGCGTCATTGTTGTTTTGACCAACGCTGTCCCACAGAGTCTGCAGGTTAATGACGGATTTAACACCAACATGGACGAAAAGGGATGAAAATGGATGAAAAATACCAACTCTGGCACATTTACAGCAATGATTAACAATGTGTAGGCTCATGTTTATGCTGATTAATGCATCTTACAACTGGATTGATGTGTATTATTTTTTAATTAACCTCTAAATGTATTTAATAAATGGTTAAGGAAAGTTTCCAGAGCCCAAGATGAGGTCTATTAATTGGTTATTTGTCCAACAACCCTCCAATACTCCAGCTGATTGAATACACTGTGATATGAAACAGAAAGAGCAGCAAATCCTCCTGTTGAAGAAGTTAAAAAGAAGTTTGGCGATTATTCAAAATAGCAGATGATTCACTTACTGTGACTCAGATCAACTAATTTCAGCACTGAATGCATTGTTGTCAAATATTGTACAGCTGTTTTCACTTGCTTTTTGTCCAACAAACCCTCCACTGCCAAATTTGATTAGATATACTATCATAAATAACAAAAAAAAAGCCACAAATCTTCACATTTGCGAGGCTAAACTGAGTATATCTGGTGATTAATCAAAACATCTTCACTCACTGTGATCAATTAATCAACTAAATTCAGCATTTTAGTGGTTTCAAGTATCTTACAACTGTTTACACTTGATTAATCTGTATTATTTTTTGATTACCCTTGAAATCTATTAAATAAATTTAAAAAAAAAAAAAGAAAAAGTTTCCAGACCATTAAGTGATGTCTTTAAGTTCCTTATTAGTCCAACAAACCCTCCAGTATATAAGTTCCTGTAAATACAAGCATGAAAAACAGCACAGCCTCACATTTAGGAAGCTAAAATTGAGTATGTTTGGCGAGTTATTAAAATAGCTGATGATAAAACTTAAACTCTAAATCTATAAAATGAAGAGTCAAAAAGGTCTCTAGAGCCCAAAGTGAGGGCTTTAAATTGCTTGTTTTATCCATCAAATCCATAAATATATTGGAAATACAGTAATAAAAAACAGAGAAAAGCAGCAAATCCTCAATATTAAGAAGCTAGAACTCAGTATGTTAAGCTCAACTTAAATAATTCAGGTTTAATAAAAACAGCAGTTGAAAAAGTGGCTATTTTTGTGGTTTTAAATATCTACAATGCATGTGGGAAATATTACAATATTAAAACCCAATCTGAAAATCATATCTACCTCCACATGCACTTAAACTACACCCTCACATGCACCTGTAGGTTATATAATACGAACTATGCTCGTTTTATAGTCAGTAAATCTTGACTTATAAAAGTACTTCACAATAAAACCTGTGAGGCGTTTAAAGACCCAGTTGAGCGTTTAAATCTCACCAAACAGCCATTTATGAGACGAGCTGTAATTTAATTAGCCTTAGCACACACAAATAATACATTAGAAGCCAGGAGCTAACAGCTAGTCGGAGCTTATCGTGAATATTTTCAGCATCAACACTTCAAAAGAGACGCTCAGAGTCAAACAGGAGTCGTGAAGCCGTTAAATGTCTCCTCAGACGGATTTAAAAGACCCCGCAGCCGCTTCAATGAGAGACGCTGACGCACATTACCGGGAATTACGAGCCCGTTAGTTTTTCTGGAGCCGTTAAGCGACGGTGCGGAGGAGAAGGAAATCATCCTACCTTCCGGTGTGGAGGCTCGGTGGAGGCTGAACTCTCCGGTCTGAGCGGCTGCTGCTGCTGCTGCTGCCGTGAAGCCCGCACACCACGTGACCCCGGGGACACACGTGACCGCGGCTGATAAGCTTCGTTATCGGAGCTGAAATGAAAATGAAAAAAATCTTCTCCTCGAACATCTCTGATTTGATGTTTACTGAGAAAGTAACCTTCAGATTAATTATTATTAATAAAAAACATTATTTGTAGGCACTTCCATGTAAAATATATATAATCAAAATAATGATAATAATAAATTTACAAATAAAGAAAAAAGAAATTTCAAAATTGGACCCAACAAAAATGAATTTAGTATTTCGGTAATACTTAAAAAAAAAAATAAAAAAAAAAATCAGTAGAATATTTAAAAAATAAAATAAAATAAAAACAAAAATAAAAATGATCAATCAATATTTTGCATAATCATTTTTTGCAATCCTACACTATGAAAAAGAAAATAAAGTTAAAGAAAAAATAAGAATGAAAGAAACAAAAAAAAAAAGCATTCTGGTCACTGTGGCAGCAACTGAATAAGTAACTACATAACAAAAATAAATAATAATAATAATAAGAAGAAGAAGAAGAACAATAAGAATAATAATAAAAACTTTTAAAGTCACAGATAATAGCAGCCTTAATTTTCCATGACATCATGTATATTTTTTGTCTTTTAAATGTTTAAAAAAATTATTTAAAGGCATTGAAATAAACTTGACAAATGGTGCAATCGATCACGTTCTTCTTTTTTTGTTGCTTTAAATCCCAACAACAAAGCATAAATCACCTGCACAAGATGTCAAAAGCTCAAGAACAAGTGAGGAAGTTAATTTTTTCGACTGTGGTTTCCACCGTTAACAAAAAACTGTCGAGTTCACCATCTTCTGTTTGTGGTAAATTTCAGACACGTTTCACAACAAGACTCAGATGGAAAGAAAAACCTTTGGACTCTGTCACTTGGACATTTTATATTTCCATTTTCAGCTCAAATCATCATATTTTTATCCATAAAATATTAATATTCATAGAAATATTTGTAAGATTTTTGTTTTCTTCACAAAAAGAAAACGTTATTCTTTCAGTACAAACACCAACTGTGAGGCTGCTCCTAGTCACAGTGAGATAAAATATCTGTGGCTGAAGGAACTGAATTCAATACTGACTGCTGTCTTGGTTAGAGTTGTTTTGGTTACTATGAAAAGAAACAACCCAAATTGAATTTAACATTTATTAAAGACACACCATGTTTCCACCATGTCTGTTTTGTCAAACTACAAAAACAGAAGTCTCTGGTAAGCTGTAACTCTTCAACAATTCATCCCGGAAAATCAGCAAATATGCTTGTTTTGCTTCCTATAAACTTAATTGAATGAGTTGAGTGAACTCCCCCGTGTTCATTTATTAAATTAATTTGAACTCAAAATACCTCAAGCTTTAAGACCTTGTGTTTTGAAGTGGCTTAAAAACAACACAGACATTTGAAGTTTAATAAACTAGACAGCAGCAAATTTCACATGTTTACATTAAGTAAAGTAGAAAAGATAAGTTGATTTGACTAAATTCAAGTATGATATTTACTGTTTATTTAAAAAAGTGACTGCAGTCAGATGGTTTGCTGCTCAAATACATTTAGAGAAACCAACTCCACCGATTTGTCTTTCCTTGGTTCATGTAAAAAGCAGGTTTGCTCAAATATTTTAGTACCTCAGTTTGGTGTAACACATACAGTCATGTGGAAATCTGGACTTTTCCGGCATTTGAAGCAAACATTTGAACCTTGTTGAAGTTGTGTCAACAGATCAAAGTGTTGTACTGATACAAATATACAAATGACACGTTAAATTAGTCATTCTCATAATTTAAATTCATTTTTAAAAGTTAGTCAAACGGAAAAAGTGAGCCCATCTCTACATTCATGACACCTTCAGATCCGTACAGATGCTCATGATTAGAACTTAACTGGAGGTTAACAGATGGAACCGGCCTTACATAAAACTCTAACATCTCAGATCTGCTGTTGTCTTTGCTGTTGAAGTGTGTCATCATGCCCAGATTTAAAGAGCTCTTTACAGTGTTTATAAAAACGTGGTGTGGATTCATATAAAGACTTTAAGTTCTGCATCATATCAGAGAGTTCTTAAAGACAATGTGAGGCCAAGCTGAAGTTCATTACAGTTGTTGACATGAAGCTTTAAACAGGCCATTGATCCTGTGAACTTAATTAAATCCATCGGAGACAAACTAAATCCAATTCATCAAATAAATTAATAAAAATTCAATTTTGGTAAACTGAACTGATTTAGTTTTGCCAATAAACAAATCAGTGGAGGGAAAAAAGTATCACAACTAGTCCTGCTAAAATCTAACAAAACAGCAAAGAGCAAACTAGTGGAGGTTTGCAGCAGAGCCTTTAGCTGGTGCATTTAAATCACATTTGTTCATATATTTATTTCAAGAGAAATTCATTAAATTAGTTCCTTAGTCGAAATGGACAAGAAAAAAACTGCAGAAGAAACATGATCCCATTTAGATTTTAGATACTGTGTTCTCACTTTGGACAGTCCAAACACAGAGTTACATATTTGTTAAATTTTGCGCCCCGTTTGTGAGAATTATAATTAAAAGCTCCCAATATTAAGGTATTTCTGTTCCAAACCTTCAACTTTAAACTGTGTTGTACAACAAAAATTGTTTAATTTAATCTTCATAGAAATAAACATCTTTTTAATCATCAACATGCTCTGATATTCAGTTAAATTGTGTAACCTACTGTTCACGAGGTTTTTATAGTTATTTGTTTGAGCCACTTGAGCCACAGGTTTATGTAAAGAAAGACAGATGCTACCCCAAATAACCCCAAACAACAGATTATCTATAGTTCAAATGTATGAAATTCAGCCACAAGGACAAAAGTATAAATCACCACAGTCATAAAACCACAGTCAGATGGTCAGATTATATCACCATTCAGGTTTTTTTTTATTCAAACTTCCTCTTGTTTTTGCTGTGAAATGAAGTGCAGCTTCACTTCTCATGTTCTCTGTTCATAGGTCAGAGGTCACAGTCGGCTTCAGAGCTGCAGGAGTCTTGCAGGGATTTGCTTCGGGGCAGTTTAGCAGATATTTAGCAGCACAGGTTGAACATGAACCCTCAGATAGAAGTCACCGTGTCACCAGGCTGTTGTACAAATACATGTAAGGAGGAACTAATGCTCCATCCTTTAGCCATGGAGAGGGAAGCAGTCATTTTCATTTCCTCATTAAACGCCAGCTGAGTCATGACGAAGGATTTCCATGATGATCTTTGTGTTTTTGTTGATCAAGTGTCTTTATAGTTTGTATCTGCGTTTGGCTGCTTTTACCCAAAATGTATCATCTCCAAACATGTATTACTTTTTATTTGCTCTTATCTAGTGAAACATTTTTCACTGAGCTCAAACAGGAGATAAAACAAACCTCTAATTCAACAGAAACACATTTAAAAGTGAGCTGCAGTCTCCAGCTTGCAGGACTTTACTGGATCTCTGCAACTTTTACACTTGTAGATTAGAATTAATTCTGCTCTGCTTCACCACAAGAATTTCTCATGTTTGCTTTGTTCTTCCCTCTAACGAGAGCGTAATGTGCCTTTTTAAGCCTCCCTGCGTCACTCTGTGTATTTTTAGCGCGTTATACAAAGTTAAACCGATAGATATTACAACAGCTCCTTTATTCAAGCGTATATGATGAAAAACACACATGCAAAATATTAAAATTTCAAAAGGTCAGCAGTGGAAACAGTGAAGAACGTGAGGTTGTGACGAGACCGCTTATTTCTATTGGAGCAGATGTACAAATTATTGTTTTTATTACTTTATATAGGAGAAAATGCAACGTTATGATAAGTGCACATCAAACTTATTGGATAAAATGTGCTTCTTTCTGCTCTGTTCATTCAGTGACTTCATGCTGTGCCTCTGCTTCCTCCTCTGCCGGCTGCTCCTCTGGTTGGTCAGCAGTCAGCGGCTCATCAACCAAATCTTCTTTTGCATCTTCTGAAGCTTTTGGTTCTTCTGCAGCAATATTTGCAACATTTTCCAGCTTTGTTTCCTCTTTTACCTCCTTGCTTTTGCTCTCCTCTTCCTGCTTTTCCACAGGAGGAGGCTTACTAACAGATTCTGCAGGACATTAATCATTAGTTAGCGTTTCGTCTCTATCTAGGAGAAGCTGCACCGTTCTGTAGCGTCTCAGAGGCATATTAAACCTTCTCACCCTTTCGCTTCTGCATTTTCGTCCCACTGGTTTTCATCTTTTCCTTCGGGGTGTTTGGGCCGAACACCACGTTTCCTTCTGCGTCGGTCCAGTATGACGTCACTCCTAAATCAGGCGTCCCCTCTGTGATCTCCAGCTGAGAGCAGACAGAACGAAGTGAAACATGGCAGCGTGATGAAGCTGTGAAACCAGAATCAACCACCACGCTGAAGTGATGTCTGTCCACTACTTACCCAGGAGGCTCAGGGAGGTCAAACCTACCACTGACTGCCAAAATAATACACCTCAAAGTGCAAGTAAGAAAAACTCTAGTATAAGCAATCCATTCATATCTCTACTGAACACATATTATAACTTTGACACATTTCAGAAAGGTGCTACTTTCATACGCAAAGATTTAAACACTCTCCTGTTCTCGTTGCTTTCTAATAAAGTAGGACCTTGTTCAAAAGACACATGAGCAGTGATCATAATGTGATGTGGATATATGATAATCTCTTCTTAGTTGATGGAATATATTTGGCTCCAGTTTCTTTTTCTCTGCAGTAAAATCCATTAGGACTTGTCAGATTTACTGTATTCCTGCTTTGTTAAATCCACATCCTGATCTTAATACTATTAGTTATGTGAAGAGGTGATATTGATGTGTTTGTCAAAAGGTTCCCAGGCTCCAAAGGTTGTCCACTTCAGGTGAATGAAACCACGATCCAAACCAAGTATTGGCATACACTGTGCTAAATTACCATAAAAATAAAGCCAGGCTCTAACAGTAGTGAACTGTTTGACAAAAATACAGTCAAAACCAGTAAGATTTTTTTTTTTTTACCTAAATACAAGAATGACAGTGTGACCTGAACAAAAAATATGACAAAAACGACACAAACACAACTCAAAATGACACAAATGAAAGACAAAAGGAGACACAAACATGGAAAAAATGAGAGAAAAAACAACAGGAAGGAGACTAAATGACACAAAAGAGACACATAATGACAAAAATGAGACACAAACTGACAGAAAGGAGACAAAATTGTCCTCATGAGACATGAAACGACATAAACGAGAGACAAAAGAAAAATGAGAAACAAAATGACACAAGTGGGACACAAAACAACAGAAAGGAGACACAAAATGGCACAAACAAGATGGAAAACGTCTTAGTCCTTAAAGTAGGACACAAAAGAAGACAAAACAATATGAACAAGACACAAAAGAAAAATAAAAAAAACAAAATGACATAAACGAGACACAAAACATGACAAAGATAACGGACAAACCTATGCATACAGTTAATATTGATTAAAGTGATACTGTGATATAAATAACGTATATTATTGGAAAGTCTAGCAGCTATATTCAAACTGTAAACCTCGTATTTTACTACAGAGTGCTGTCATCAGTTATACAGTCATTAACTGTAAAGTAACAGTAAAATCCTGGCAGCTGTGTTTTTACAGTATTTTACTGCAGTATTACAGTCATGGTCGTTGATTAAACCCATCCAAACTCATCTCTGTGTATCAAAGGTGCATATTTCGGAGATTTTGCCAAAAAAAAAAATCTTAAAAAATGTAACTCCACCCTTCCATACTTGCTGCAGCTCGAGCACACCAGCTCACCTACAACCCAGCTGTAACACTGTAAATAACGCTACCAATAGCAAGTAATATGACACTTAAATGGAAATGTAGTATATGAGTGATTCAGTCATACATGGTTGTAAACTGATTCTGAAGAGGAATAATGAAACAGAGATCCCTGTGCTGCAAGTTGACAGGATTGGCTCTTTAGATTTGTTTCATATGAAACTCTAGAAGTCTGAATCCATGTTTTTGAGACTGTCACTATCAGTGCACGGCAGTTTGAAGGTGTAATATTCAACCGTGCTGTTGGCTGCTTACTTCACCTATATGTTATGTGCTCTATAAAATCACCATATGAACATGTTAAAGTGAAAAACTTTTTGAGCTAACAGCTGCCTATGTAAACATCTAGCAGATACAAAGCAACACTGGGAATCAATGTCCGTCTGATATTCACTTCCCTTGTTTTTGCTTCTGCTGTGTTCACCAGGCAGTGAAACTGGAACTGAACTGTGGATGAAACATTCTTGGTCCACTTCATTCACAAATTACACAATAGAGACGTACGTGATCTTTGTCAGCTGTTTCCTTGAATATTAAGTTTTATAACCCGTCAGACTGAATGAGAAGGTACTAAAATGACAAGTGCATGTCTGGTGCTGCTAAAAATTTAGATATTTAAGGTTTATCTTGTGGAAAATGTCTGTAATATTTCTGTTGTGTGATTATATGGTTGGGTGGCAACCAAACAACAAGTAGAGTTTTTTTTCAGCTACGTTCAGTTGTGCTTGATTTTCTTGCTTATCCTTAGGTGAACGCCACATTTCTTGGTTTTTCAAGCACACCCTAAATAAGTGAATTCACAAACAGATATCAGGATGGAGGAGGTTGACCTTCAGACTGTCCGACAGAAACTGTGACTGGGAGTGAACAAAAAAAGGGGAACCGAAACGAGAGAGTGAATAGTGAAGGGTTTAAAAACAAAGAGACACAACTCATAGAGAAAAAGGAGGAGGAGGAGGACGTGGGGAAGTACATGCTTTCTTTTATTAGTCTCATCAAGACACAGGGGAACAGGAAGTGAGGCAATAATCACTACTGTTGGTATTAACAGTGCTCTTCATTGCAGTGGCATCGACATCACAAATAAAGGAGACAATCATTCATAATCAGTATCGATGGACTGTGGAGGGGACAGAGCGGTGAATAACATCGATAATAATGAGGAGACGTGAGCTGACGGACGGTGTTCAGTGATGTGATGGTTACATTTAAAGTGACTGTGAATACAATGGAACAAACAGACATGGAAAATCGGATGAAATCGCACATGTTTTTATACATTTGCTACAGATTTTGTTTGCTTTGGATTTCATAATTTAATTTAATTTTGCAATCTTTGTGCTTATTTGTTTCATTAACAGTGAAGTAATTTGTAGCAAATGTAAAAACATGTTTTTTAATACACATTTAATCCACACTAACACCTCAGTGACTCATTGTTGCATCCTTTGGCTTTACTTTGTTAAATAACGTCTGATTTCTTCTTCTAAAGTCAACATGCCACAATGTTACACAAACAACAAATTGCACCAGTAATGGACCAAATGTGCTCATATCATCATTTTGACGTTACATCTCTTGGATTTCTCTCTGAGCTGTTGGATGTTCAGATTCAGCACCTCTAGAGTTGATATATTCTACACAACACATCCTCAAGCCCTTCTTTTTTCCAGTGTTTTTTTTTTTTCTTGTTTTTTTTTTTTCATTTACACATATTTACGACAAGATTTGGACCGCTTTTACTTTTTCTTGCCGCCCGCCTCGTCGGGGATGAAGACACTTACGGTGAAGTCCCCGCTCTCTGTGCCGTACTTGTTCTTCACCAGGATGCTGTACTTGCCCGAGTCCGACGTGTTCACGCCCGTGATGGTGAAGCTGGCGAACTTGCCCGACTCGAACTTCAGGATGCAGTGGTCGTCGGACGTGATCTCCCTGTCGTTCTTCAGCCAGGTGACCTCTGGCACCGGGTTGCCCGAGATGTTGCAGGTGAGATTGAGGGCCTGGGAGGAGGGAAATGTGCGACACGCAGCAGGAATATCATACATTTAAGCCACGCTGAGAGCCAAAGAACATGCAGATGGAGCCGTTGTGCTGTGCTCACCTTGCCCTCCTGGATAGTCACCACATCAGGCAGGCCTCCCGCCACTCGAGCACGATCTTAAAGGCACAATCGTAACTTGAATTATTAAAGTAAATTAGCAAAAATGCACCTTATAAAACTCCACAACATAAAATCCTTGTATTTAAATGACCTGACGTTAGAAAAAGTAGTGTTTTATGAACTTTTAGTAGTTTTGGTTACAATAAAACTGTACAGTGAAACTTATTTGAAATTATTCTACACTGTATAATAAATATGTATTCATCTTTAGGCCTAAATAAAAGAAGAAACCAGAGTGTCACTTACTTCTCTCTGCAATAGCAGCAGCTCTGATGAAAAAAAGGGAACAAAAAAAATTAGACAAAAGGTGAAAGGACTCAGAAGTGAAAACATTCCTATTTTTTGAGGTATTTTCTTTAAATCACGCCAAAAATCTAACCGTATGAAAGAGAATACAACATTTTTACGCATTTATTTTCTCCAGAATTGACTCCTGCAACTCCCTTCTTACTGGAATTAATCAAAAGTCACTGTTTCTCCGCCGACTAGTTCAGAATTTAACATTTAAAGCCCATTGCAGTCCATCAGTCTGTACGTTATTCCATGTCAGATCATCGGGGGCTTTCTGCTCAGCCATCTCTGATTCGCTTCAAGCTTCTTTTTTTAAAATTATAAACTATAGATATTTAAAACAGTATCTGTAATATTTTAGACTGAAATATCAAAGATTTTCAGAGATAATCTTTAAAGAAAAGTTCCTTGTCAACCCAAACAAAAGCCTAAAATTTTCACTATTATTTCCATCATGTTATTGATTCAGAGCCTGTGATATTGAATCAAATGGTTTCTGATTATGGGAGTGTTTAAAAATAGAGAAAAAAATGAAGCCATCAGGAGAAGTCTCATGTTTGAGGACAGGATCACCAAAAAAAATGGATATTGCAGAAGCCAACTGGTGATATGTTTCAACCTTCTGTAGTTGTATGTCACATTAATACAAATAGTTTTTAATATAAACTCAATCACAAAAATGAAAAATATTGCTTGCTAGCCTCTTTACTCTTTGGGTTAACAGCTGTTGTTTAAAATGTGCCGACAGTGACTTGACTATTAACTTCTGGGTTTCCTGCTTTTGCATTCTGTCAAGGCACTTTTACCCTTGTTTTCAAAAGTACTATAAAAAATAAAGATATCAAGTAGTTAGTAACTTACTTGAGTCTCTGGAATTCTGCAAAAGCGTCATCAAATGCTGCAAAACAAAAACAAGTCGAGTAAGAACCTGAATCTGGTTTATTTAGTAAGACACCTTCATCTTTGTCTGTGTGTGACACTATAAATGCAAAACACCACAAACAAGCAATCTAAATAAGAAAAAAAAGAGTACAAAAAGACAATAGTGCACATGTTCTGCACATGTTGGGACCTGGTGAATGTTGCTATTAAAGTCAGTGACAGAAAAGAAATAAAGACTAATATAAAACTATCATCCAGCTCAAGTGTGAAGTCACTGTGGATTAGCCGGAGGTTAGAAGAGTGCTGACAGTCTCACCTTGACCAGAGAGCTCCAGGGTCCTCCTGAGGCCTCCCTTCCCATCGTTGAACTCGATGGCGTACTTGCCCATGTCTTTCTCTGTGGGATCCGTGATCTGAAGCCACAGCTGCTCTCCGACCACGCCGCTCTTCAAACGGTCCGAGAAGGCGATGGCCGAATCCCTGTCAGACACGACACATAGAGACACACACATGGTTTAATGCTGCTCTGCATTAAATGAACACAAGTAAATTAATTAGTGTAAGTAAATACTAATATATGTGTGTGTGTATGTAACAATAAAATGCATTTAGATGAGACGTTTGGTTAAAAAATCCATTTCAACTTAGAGACGGTTCTGCTGAGGTACAGTAGTGAAGGTAGCTGTGACTGATTTATTTCCACATGCTTGCTCATATATAAAGGAACTCACTTGTAATGCCATGTGACTTGGAGTAAATCATTATAGTAGCTGACAAATGTGTAGATCCGGATGCCCTCATCTGTGCTTGTGGCCTTCAGTGGAGTGGAGGAATTGGCTGCGAAGAAAACCCACATAAACATCATTTAAAAGCGTATTTTATGGTTAATATGAATCAAATGCAACATTTTCTGTAGATATTTCTTCTCACCGATAAAACTGAAAACTTCATTCATCAAGTCTTTGAAACCTAGAAGAGAGCAACATGTGGGCATCGTAAGTGATTTATTTGTTGCATTCCTTCATTGAGGTTATTAATGTGTGATCCCGTACGCTAACCTTGATCTGTCAGATTCAGCGTGGACGTGTCCTTTCCTCTGTCGTCCTTCAGGACAACCTCATACACTCCAGCGTCCTTCTTGGAAATCTGACAGCGAGAGCAGCAAAAGTCAAAATTCACCCCAGCAACATTTTGTAAAAAAAAACGTGATTTGTATTCATCTGAAAAGGCAAGCTTTTCTCTTCTGCTAGGGGTGCTGCAGAACACATATATATATGACGCAAGAGCAAAAAAGCCAAACACACAAACAAACAGGCAGACATGAATTTAAAAAAATAAAATAAGACAAAATAAAGCATTCTCAGGCAAAACCAGAAGCGGCCGAAAACTGATCCCAACTTTTAGATGTCTCCACATTAGGCTGTCGATATTGTTGGCTGCGTCTGCAGGGGAGTCGCGCTGCAATGGGACACATGTGACATCATGTTTATATGCAGCTTTCACTGCCATGAAGTCAAACCACTGCACTGGACAGACGCTTACAGACGACACAGTGGGATGTAAATGGCTTATGAGGCTGAGAGGCAGAGATCAGAGAGGGTTAAGAGAGGTTCGAGAGAAAAGAGCAGATTAAAACAGAAAAGACAACAGAACAGTTAGAGGAAGAGGTGATGATGGAAGTTCTGGAATATAGCGAGAATTAATTTATGATATATGATAACTTATTTTTAAGGAAAGTTAATGTTGGTTGTTAATAGCAAACAGTTTAGGAGTTCTCCAGTGAAATTAGTCAAATGTAAATGTTTTAACAACAGTGGTGGAAAGTAACTAAGTACATTTACTCAAGTATTGTACTTAAATGTGGCAGCACTTTTATCCTGCTTTCTGCTTCTACTCCTTTACATTTCACTCTGCATTTATCTACATCTATCTGACACTTACTCTTAGTTACTTTCAAGACTTTTACACAAGGCATCATATAACAACATTTAAAAAATACAACACATTACACCAGTGGATTCCAACTTCTTTGGCCTCTAACTTCTTACAAAAAGCTGTGTGTGGTCAGCGTCACATGTCAGGTTCTATGAGCTGTCAACAGCTCCACCAACTAACTTTCATTTTTTTTTTTTTTAAATCTTCAAAAGATCTGAAATCTCACAAAAACCCTTAAGATTAGAGGAAAAGTTTGAGTGTCAGAAGTTAGTTTTTTCTTCTCCATATCTTTGGCAACTCCTCAGATTTGTTGCTGTCAAGTATAAAAACATATAAAGTAGTTCAAACCTGCAGCAGATACAACAGTAACATGCTGCTGACACACTGATGAGTCTTTATTAATAATCTAATCATGTCATATACAATAAAACATCACTTAGAGGGACACAAACTTTGCTGCTTATTCCTTTGTACTTTTACTTAAGTGGAATTTGTCATGTACTTGCAATGAAGTAATATTTCATTTCCTCATTGCCACTTTAACTTTTTCGTCCACCACTGTTTAACAACCGTCTTCTGTTCATTTCTTTCCTCCAACTTACTTGACCCTGAAGTCAAAGACGCCCATAAAAGGGGAAGGATCCAGATATTTTTGAGAGTTCAGACATAAACAGAGCCGCACAGTGTTCACAGTCATATATGCCAGTGATGATTACACAGTACAGAAATATACACAGATATATTCACATGAAATCACATTTCACTCAGGTTTCTTTCCTCATTTTCTCACCTGAGCGATTTCCAGCTTCAACACTCCCTCGGTGAAGCCCAGATGTTCGTCTGCTTTGATCTCGTGTCCGTCTTTGTACCACAGCGCAGACGTCTCCTTCTTCATGTTGCCGACCTGAATCGCAGCACAGCAGAGGGATGTTTTCACAGTTATTGCTCAGATTTAATTATTTTCCTTAATGTTCCAAAAATGTTCTAAGAAAGTTCTGCAAAGTTCTGCAAATATTGTCACTGGAAAGTTGCCATTTTAGTTCCCAGAATGGTTTTCTTAAAGACAGGAGAATTGAAGATGGTCTTTAGTGATAACATTAGTAGAACGTTAGGCTCTGATGTTCTGACTTATTCTTGCACTGAGAGCGTTCTTCCTTTGTTATCAAGAAATAGTTTGGGAATGTTTTTACAGATTCTTTCGTGTGTTCCCTTGACAACATCCTGAAAACGTCCTTAGAATGTCGCAGTGAAGGAACGTCTCATGGTGGAAACATCTCATAAAAGAACGTTCTATAATGGGAAAATGTTCTACCTTTAATATATCACGTTACAGAAAATGCTACAAACGTTCTGTATAAAAACATTCTGTCAAAAAAAACATTCTTTGTTATCGTGGAACGTTTTGAGAAGGTTTCATACATGAAGGTTCTCTGTTGTGTTCCTCAAAACATTATCAGAACATTGCAGGCAGAATGTTCCACCTCCGTAAATATATCCCAGTAAAGGGATGTCTTCTACAGAACGTTGCTATCTAACATTTCAATAACATCTTGAAAACGTCCATTTTTATCATTGTGGAAACTTCCATTAGGAGAATGTTCTGTGGTGTGTTTCCTCAACAAAAAGGCAAAATGTTCTACCTTTAATATATTACAGGAACGTTATAAAAATGTTCTGTACAGAAAATATTTTGTCATAAAATCTGGACAACATTAAACATTTGATTGACACATTTTCTTTACAAAGTCATTATAACTTGCAGCTCAAAAATCTCTGGAACTCACCTTGCACTTGAGTATAACGCAGCATTCTGGAGTCACCTCGTAGCTCAAGTATTCAATAAAGTGAGGACCTGGAACAAACATTCAGTCAAAAGGATATGAATCACTACATATAACACTTCAATCTACAATCATTCCAGTCAAACTGTTTAATGGATTCATTAATATTTTCTCCTGCGTTAGTTAATCTCTGCTTTTCTCTCTAAAACTGATGAATTAATCATGAAAATGTTCATTCCAGTTGGTCGTGGTCCATACCTTGCTTTCTGACCCATTCTTTGCTCTGGAAATCTGATTCCTTCTGCAGTTGCTTGAACACTGAAAATAAAAAATAGTTTACAGTGTTTTATGGTTTAAAACGACACCTAATCTAACCTAAAATCTAAACATGAACTCTGGTGAAGCCTCTTTTGCTGCAGAAATGTAGTTGAAGTGACTCAGTTGCAACATGACTTCTAAAAAGTTCTTACTGCCCTCTAGTGTTGACTAGTCACACATGCTGAGCTCTGCTGTGTCTATAATTTAAAGAAACTGTGTGAGTTTAAGAGTTGTGCTGATGCAGGTGGAAAAAAAACAAACACAACTTATTGCAAATGTACACCATGAGCTGACAGATGAAGGTCCTGTACAAACAGTTGGAACCAGTTACAGCTACATGGTCTGTCTGGATGCAGGCTTTTGTAGGCTGGTAATAATTCACAGAAACTGATGGAAGGAACCAAAGATGTCCACTAGAATGGGTGAGATGAAGTAATTAAGGGCTCTGACTTTGGTTCTTGCCACCAGCATGTTTTGAAAAGGGTGAAAGTTATAGACTGTTACTGAGAAAGGTCACGTTAGGGAGGAAAAATGTGAGGGTCCTAGACTGGGTTCACTGTGCTTTGGGGATTTTGTCTGTCTTTGTGTTTGGGTGGATGTGCCTCTGTTCACTGCAGGCTGGGAGGAGCCGATCAGGAGAGACACCTGGCAGCTGTGGCTCATCAGCCGTGTCCTGCTTAAATACTGGCGTCTCACAGAAGACCGACGCCAGAGGATTGTGATCCTACCTCGGGGTACAGTCAGGCCACGAGCTGCCACACCGCGCTGAGCATTCTTGATGTTCTCTAGCTTCGAGTTTATGGGATGTGTTTCTCTGCCTGTTTCCAGTTCTCCTCCTCGGCTCCAGCACTCGGTACACCTCCAAGCACTCCAGCGTTTGTCACCCACGGTAATTCACGACCACGGACACCTTCACCGGGAGATCCTTCACGAGAGCACCCCCCCACGAGCACCGGACCCCTGCGCACCACCCCGGTTTCCCTCGTCACGGCTCCCTCTCTGCACCGGGAAAAACCCCACGGACCAAGGCACTCTCATGCACCGGCTCTTCGTGCACCACCCTCGGGACCCCCCTTCCCCGGATCACGACACCGAAGACTCCACTCCTCCCTCTCCACGACTGACATGCCTGCACCAGATCACACCACCGGGTTATTCCCCACGACCGGCACCCCTTCACCGGACTTTGTTTCTGCCTCCTGGTGCCCATCACTCCACCACCTTCCCTAATAAATCCTGTTTCCTTTAACCCGTCTCCCTTTTCGTTTGGGTCCACCCGCACAGTCACTGAGCACGAACCGTCACAGAATCCTCTGGCCTAAAATCATGGACCCAACGAACCCCGGCACCGTTGAGGAGGCTCTTAATGCCCAAGAAGAACTGCTTGGAAATCACGACCAGCTGTTACACGATATAAGTGTCTACCTCCAGACCCTCTCCTCCCAGGTCCAGGGAGTCTGACTCTGAATTGGCTAGTCAGGAAAATGCCCCGCTGGAACTACTAGAGACCCCGCGCATAATATGTGCTTTGAATGGCAGATTATTTGCCAGGGCCACTCACCGCACTACTCCGCTGCCACTGATCACCTCCGGGAACCATCGGGAGAGCATCCAGTTCCGCCGCTCCCCAGCCTCCTGTGCCACACGCGTCGTCTTCAGTCCGTGGCACGGTGGAAGAGACTTCGCCGCTCCCCAGCTCGCTCCCCGCTCCCGCCGCGGAGCGTTCCTGAGGCCCCCGCCGCGCCCACCACACTGGTCCTGCATCCTGGCCATCCCTGACCGGGTCGACGCCGCCACCGAGCCGGTTCCTTTGTTTCTGTCTCCTGGTGCCCATCACTCCACCACCTTCCCTAATAAATCCTATTTCCTTTAACCCTTCTCCCCGTCTCCCTTTTCGTTTGGGTCAACCTGCACAGTCACTGAGCACAACCCTCACAGAAAAATGTGGATTAGATGGGGAACCATGAAAAGGGATTTTGTGAGGCTGTACAACTCAGCATCAGTGTCCTCGGTTTGCTTTATTTGGCTGAAACCACAGGAGACCTAACAACGGCCCCAGACTCTACCTGTCCTCAAACACGTATATATTTATGATACCAAATATTAAGTCTTTGATAATATGAAATACCAAAGATTGTGGAGTAAAGACTGATTCCTAAATCCCTGCTGTAAAACCTCTGACTCTAATATTTCCACAAAAGGTGCAAAGAATTCTGAGACTGTTTTATCCAGTAGTCAGATTTCTGTTCAGGGAATGCATGCAAATGAATATATGTTTAATTAGATATTGCTTTATTTGCATTATTAAACACAACAGCTCTGGAAACTTGTGATATCTATTAGAACTGTTTTTTTTTTTTTTGCTATTAGATATCACTGTGAAACCTGTCCAGCTGATTGCTTACACAAGGCAATTGTTTTATTTTAGCAAAGTTTTCAACACATAGAAAATAATTTCTTGGAGTAAGTCCTAAACCCAACAGGAAGGCAGCCATGTTGAATTTTGGGGGATTTTTTTTCTCTCTCTAGTAAACAGGTAGTTGATGTAGCTCAAATATACTTTTGCAAGTTAACTCCAAATTTCTTATGCTTGATAGCCGCCTTGGTCTGAGCATATATATACATGTCTATATGTTATAGTCATAGCGCCACCTACTGGTAACAGAAAAACAGGATTATGTGAGAAATATCCAGTTTATATGACATCTGGTGTGTTTCTACAGCAACATGACATATATTGCTGCCTGCAGCTTTCATTTTTTGGTTGTTTGCCTGAACATACCATCTCCAATCAGCACCAAGCTGGACTGGTTGGTCGCTTTCCCGTCCAGCAGCTGGAAGGTGAAGGTGCCTTCATCTGCCGGAGTCAGAGAGTCCATGATCATCTCAATCACACCGGTGTTCTTGTCAAAGTTCATCTTGTATTTCTGCCAAACGATAAGGACAACATTTTTTTTTTCATTACCTGCTCTTGGTGTGCAAAAAACATATCAAACAGAAATGATTCCTACTGACATCCCCCGCAGAGAGAGCGTTATCGTTGAAAATGTAATCGATTTTGGCGTTTGGTGAAATCTTCTCGGCCTGCAGCCAGAAGCGAACCCTGCCCTTCTCCAGCAGCTCCACAGCCAACTCTGACTTCAGGGGAATAACTGGTGTGAAGAAAAAAAGAAAAACAACCCAAAAAACACACAACAGAGAAACCCCAGAAAAAAATGAAAACACTTAAAAACAGCAGAGACGAGCTGTGAAACACTCACTGGGGAATTTGTGGTCATGACTGATCTCCAGCAGCCTCTTCAACTCTGACAAACAAAAAGAAATTCATAAATTAAGATTAAAAAGCAACAGCTGATGTCATTTTATTAGAAAAACACATTTATTTACTTCACACAAACATATTTTTTATTGTTGTCTGGACTTTAAATCTTACCTTCCTCAGAGAAAGTGTAGCTGGATGAAGCACCATCAGTGTGGGTGACGAGACATGAGTAGATGCCAACGTCTTCCTCCCCAGGAGTGTTGAAAATAGCTTTGGACCTGCAGAGAAAACAGCATCGAAGTGGTAAGAATGATGATGTTTTCACTCAAACTGTTTCTTTTTACAAAACTGTGTCATCTCACTTGTTTCCCTTGGTCTCTATAGTCATTCGGGAGGCGTCTGTTATTTCCTCGTAATCCTTGGACCACACAAATTTGGAGTCGGGGGTCATGTCACAGCATTCAAAGTTCAGGGAGATGATGCCGTCATCGTCGACATCCACAACTATCTCCTTAGTGCCTGAACACGGAGGAAATGAACGGAAATTATTGCTGCAACTTTCAAAATGTGCATCATCATCATCATCAGCAGCAGTTCGTCCTACCTGGTTTGGTCACAGCAGGAACAGGTTCTGTCACATCTGAGGTTTTTCCAACACCGGCTTTATTCTGAGCGCGAACACGGAACACGTATGTCTGTCCTTCTTTCAGATTCTTAATCTGTAAAATGAAGGAGAGGAACCTGATCAAACACCAGCTGCTGCCACATGTGACCATGAATCAGTCAGAGAAACGGGACGACAACCTTGATGAATGACTTCTCTACAGCCTTGTTGTTGACGCCTCTCCACGCCTCCTCCGGTGCCTCGGCTTCCTTGATGTCAACGTAGAACCCGTTGACCGGATCGCGGCCCTGGTACACAGGAGCTTTCCACAACAACACCAGAGAGTCGCTTCGCACCTCCCTGATCTGCAGATCGTAAGGAGGTCCTGTGGATGAGCAGAAACACAACGGTAACACATATGTAGGCAAAAAAAAACTACAGATCAGGTTATGTGTCTCATAGGTGTTGTCAACAATTATGCCCATAGAATAATGCAAAAATCCTGCACACTGCTGCCTTGTTCTCTGTTATTTTAGCTTATGCTGCACAACAGAACTATTCCTTGTCATCAAGACCAAGCTTAATGGCCTTACTGATATCCTAAGTGTTTATTGTTCTCTTATGCATTGCTGTTTACTATTTGCTATCCTGTTCGCTCTCCCCTTTACCCTCACCCCAACCGGCTGAGGCAGATGTCTTCTCTCCCTGAGCCTGGTTCGCTTGTAGGTTTCTTCTTTATTCAAGAGATTTTTTTTCCCCACTGTTACTAATTTCTGCTCAACAGGTGTTGCTCAAAGAAAACCCTGGAATTGTTGGATTTCTCTCCATAATATGGTAAGGTCTTCAACTTATTCCATGATAAGCCTTGGGTTACGAATTGGTATTTCAATAAAACAAAACTGAATTTAATCAAATTTTAAATCCTTATAATACTATTGTCAAGTAGATACAGTACATGGTGAGAAAGCAGGATAATATGCAAAGTCTTTCTCTCTTTATCCAGATTAAATACACTTATGCAATTATAATCAATGCTCTGTCAACAAATCTGATTACTTGAATCTTGACTAAGTGAGAGAAGACCAACTGTTGCACTTTGGCCAAGCCATGATGACTTAAATGTGTTGTAATTTAATATAAGATGATGTAGTATGAACCTATGTTGCAAAACACCTTTAAACTATTTTAAATCCGTCCACAGCAGCCAGTCATGCTGCAAGCACAAGGATATGTGTTATAGTTGCAACACAATGTTTGGGATTTTCTCTTGACTTGCTGGCAAATCAATGACTTTGTCCAGCTTCTGATTGTAAATGTGAATCTTGAAAATCACGTTTTTTTTCAACTTCTCGGTCTGTCCATTTGGTATTTGTTGGAAAAATTATGAGGAAATAAATAGTTAACACCATGGCTGACCGGAGATGGATTTTGAAGGATGTTTTCTATTAAAGTGTGTGATCAGGCTTGAAGGGACCTTTAGTCTCTTGTGTACAAAAAGAATCCCAAATTTCTCAAAGCTCAACTCAATAGCTTCTTTGTTCGCCTTGCTCTGTCTGGTAAAAGACCAAATCTGTCAAACTCTGTGTCCAAGTTGTAATATAAGAATTTTAAGGGTTCCTTTCTCAGACTCCAAAAAGAAAGAGTTCCAGAAACACTGAGCCAGAAGTGACATTATGCAAAGGCTGAGCAATGACCCCGATGATTGGTTAGCAAACTGAACTGTAGAGCAGCAACTAATCTGATTGTAATTATCAGTTAGGCTCATGTATTTTCTTTAGTAAATCATTATCTGTTGGGTTGCAAAATATCAGAAAAGAGTGAAGGAGGCCAGTTATGATGTTGTAAGACTTGAGGTGATGTCTTCAATTACAAACAAATTGTCCAAAAAACCCCAAATGTTTGATTTTGTATCAAGCAATACAAACGAAAATCCTCATGACTGATTGGCATGAACCAATATATTCACTGTTTTTATTGTAAAACTGACAACCAAAGTTTATACAGTTGCCAAAATAGTTACTAAATTCTTTCCAGTGCATCAAAAAAATTGATTAATTTAGATTTTCAACTTCATTATTGTGCAAGATCAGTGAAATGTGTGTTTGAAAAATGGTCACTTTTTCCTTTTTTTGTTCTAAAACTGGGTTTCTGTTCATGAAAATTGTCTCCCAGCAGGTGAATCACGTGCTCCAACCAACCTGGCACAGCGATGGTCCACTCCTCACACAGGAAGGTGTTGCTGGGCAGCGACGGGATGCCAACACCGGCCATGTTGGCTGCTCGGACCTGGAACTGGTACTTCTTGTTCTCCTTCAGGTCAGACACCTGGAGACAGAAACACAAAACCTTAAAGCTGCCAGTTGAACCCAAGGCTTGCATTGAGAGGCGTTTCATATCAGCTCACCCTGTAGGCCCTCTCGCTGATAGACCTGATGTTGGCCTCGTGCCACTTGCCCGGCACGCCATCGATGACCTCACGGTAATCCACAAAGTAGCCGGTGATGTCAGCACCTCCGATGAAGTTTGGCTGTTTCCAGGAGAGCACCATGGAGTCGCGAACGCACTCCAGGACGGTGATGCCATAGGGTGGAGCAGGAGAGGCTGCAGCAGAAGACTCCAATTAACCAACACAGCCTCAGCAAGGAAGCTGATGTAATGGGAAACTGAAGCACGACAATGAAGTGATGCCTTTAATTCCCAAACTTCCTTTAAAATGCCGCGCTGCTGATTAATTTAAAATCTTTAATTGCTTAAGTTCTTTAATTGTAGCTTTGGAAACAATGAGCTTCAGTGTTCCATTACTGGAAGCTGCTTACAGCAAGTACTGACCAACAACACCTCATGGCCAAATGATTCACTACTGGATTGTACATGAATCTAAAGATCATTGAAGGTGAATATTTGCTGTAACAGAAAATAAATTCACGGCACATTTATGACTTTAAGGTTCATGATTAGACGTTTGTGTCTGGGTTTGCTTAAAGGAATAGATGATGATTTTGTGAAACAGATACAGTAGACTGACCACTCTTTATGTCTAAATATGAAGCCACAACCAGTTACCATTACCTACTAGAAACAGGGAATAACAGCCTGATTGGCTCTTACAAAATCCACCTACCAGCACCACTTAAATTAAATAAATGGCACCCATTGTTTTGTTTTTCTTACATATCTGTTTTCCTCTGACTATGGCTGCCCCTTAAAAAATGTGGTAAAAAGTTGTGAAATTTGGCACACCGCTTGAGGAAAGTCCCCTGATTCTTCTCACCAAGTATCATGTCTTTACCTCAAACACTCTAGCCAGGAGTGGTTTGAAGTAGGAAGCGCATTTGTGCACGTAACTTTAGAACCACATACCCAATTTTCAAAAATTAGGTACCATTCAAAACATCTAATACATTCCCACCAAACTGGATCTTATGAAGATGAGTTAAAGTCTTCAAGAAATAAAGATAATCTTCAGACCAAGCCTCACAAAAGTTATCAGATTGATTTTAAATTTACGAAACCATCCATTTTAGCTCAAAATCAAACAGCATCAGATCTCAGTTACGGTTTCATGTACAGCCATCAAACTTCGTGTTTGGACTCTGCAACTCTCCTTGAGGTTGTCCTAAACAAAATTGCACAATTAGACCAATGTCTGACGCTACAATAAGCATTAAAATGCTTTTTTGTCTATTAGTGCTTACAGCTATGCTTTTAATATGATCAAACCAAGCTGCCATGGTGACTCCCTCATCGTTTACAGCTATTTCTTTTTCATCATGTTATATATTTTTGGTTTATTCGGTGTAATGAATGAAGTGTGCAAACCAAGCAGACCATCAGATAGACTCTGTGAACTCGTGTTTTACAACTAAAACATCAACACGCAAACTGTAGAGCTTAACTAAATTAAATCAAGTAGGTTAATTAGTTCTTCTACCAGTTTTGAGCTAAGCTATGTTGTGGTTGTAGCTTCATATTTAAGGAGAGTGATATCAAGCTTTAGATACAACTCCTTACAAAAAATGATCATAATTTATAAAAATGTCACACTACTCCTTTATACCATCAATTAGAGAGAATTAAGCAGTTATAACACAGTATTTGTGGTAACGAAGGAAACAGTCTTGTTTGAGGGAGTGTGTGTGAGCAACAGGTCTCTACAAAAGCAGGATCACGTAACACGGTGACAACAAATTTGCCTGTCACACCCAAATAGTCCCGTGAACTTGACACCCTCCTCCTCTATTTAGGGGTGAGAAGTCGGTCAAAGTGTCCGGGAGGTGGATGTCTGACCATGTCCACAGGTCGCTCCCTAAAAGGCTTCAGGTCACAAGTGTCCTGCTCTTGTGTTGGCTCGATGACCCACTTTCCCAAGTGCCGTGACACACTTCTGTGTGTTTGTGTGTTAAAGTCCTCAGAGAGGTGAACTGACACCAGACCACCAAGTCAGGAGGTTGTGGGTGAGAGGTGGCCGGAAAGCGTGACTGTGTTGAGTTAAACCTGGTTACAGTGGAGTTTCACTGTGACTTACCTTCAAAAGCAGATTACCAGTAGAGCAGTTCATCTACTTTTTGTTGACTATTGTTTGTGAAATACCTGCAGATGTTACATGAATGATGCAACTCGGAAACTCAGGATAGAACATGTTCATTGATCTTAAATGGGTGGAGGTTATAGAGTATTTTAGTTCATTTGGAGTACCGGTGCTCACCTGCTGACCCTTTCCTGGGTCTCGGTTTCTCCCAATTAGCAGAAGCGTCTACCGAGAACTTACGTGCCTTCACAGCCTCGTCCTGAACCTCAGCAGCGACCGGGTCTAAGTGTGCAGCTGTGATTGTGTCAGTAAGTGGGTCAGAAACTGAGCCTGACTCTGAGGGCAGCTTTTTTGCCAGGTCAGGGGCCCAGGACACGCTGCCTCTCTTGCCCCCTTTGTTTTTACCCTCCGCGGGGTTGAGCCCTGCAGCCCCTCCTGCCCCCTCCCTGGCTTCAGTGTCAGCCTGAGCTCTACTGCGCTTTTGCATAGTGTCAGGGGGGTACTGGACAGTTTCATGCGTGCCCGTCCAGCGTGGCCTGTGCTCGGTTAGTTGGCCCGCGTTACCCCCCGGCCCCATCTTCGACAACACACCGTGTGGGATGCCGCCCCCTACGGGTGTTAGCAGAGAGAAGCAAGAAGAAGCTTTTTAAAACAGGCAAAAGATCCACAAAAAAAGAAGCAATATTCATGGCATCAGCCTATCAAATACAGTTCAATGTCTTCATCTGACTGGGAAGGAAAATGAAGACAAGATGACCAACGAGTGACATCCACGTGAGGAGGCTTCATTTGGGATTATGAGAGCATGCAGGCGTGTAAAGTAGAGCAGCCAAACAGTGTGGGTGTGTGTGGCTTTGTGCCGACCCTTTATGAAAAGCTTTAGTACCGATGCCAACGGATTCCATCACCTCTTAGATTCGCACTCGAAGGATGAAGTAAGTGGTGTGTTGAGACTGAACGCAACAACACGCCATGATCTAATACCTATGAAGTAGTGCTGTTCTCAACATTAAAAACTTTGAGTAGCAACTTTGCTTTAATGAAACGTTCTATTTACTGTCAATGAGGTTTATTAGTATTAGCAGTAACAGTACATCTGCCTGCATTACAAATACGTTGGCATGAGTGTGTTTCATAAAGGGAGAACGGAGCCGCTCAGCACAAAGCCGGCCAGCGAATGAGTGACATCCAAAGGCGGGAAAGCTGTGACGGTTATAATGCAGAGAGTTTAATTCAGGACACACATGCAGGAGGTCAGACAGAGCATCTCTGACAATAACTACAACAGCAGCATTGTTTCTGTTACTGATTTGCAGAGTAAGTGTTAGAACTGGGCTACATATTTAGATGTGAATAATCTTAGAATTCGGAACTGTTTTTTAAATAAGTTAAATTTTGCTTATTTAAGTTCATGTTTTATATGTGTCTTTATAGGAAAATGAAGAGATTTCAGCCCTAATGGGCGTCCACTGTTGTCAGAACTTCCCAGTTACAGAAGCTTGTTTTTTTAATCTGGTACAGCAGGTGTTACAGCCCAACAACGCCCCCTTGTGTTTAACCTTGGCAGTGTTTTCATGTAGATTTAACTGACCGGCCATTTGACCAAAGTGTCCCTTCCCAACCTGAAAACTCGCCTTATTGTCTTTCAGGGCAGCTGCGGTTTGATGTGTTTGCCACTTTGCCTCTTGTTTTTATGTTTGCTTGAGATGGTGGATACTAATAACCCTGGACAGCGTAGATTTAGCAGTTCCTTCTGTGTCCCTTTTCCTAGCAGATACTTAACAATTGTACCGGTTGTGCCACTTGTTTATTTGCCTGGAAACTGGGCAAAGCGTTTGATCGCTCACACAAACTCAGTTAACTATTTTCATCTTTGTTTAGATGCACTAGGAGTAGGGGTTTAGAATCCTTTGGATAGGCAGGATAGCCCATTTTTGTTGTTTGGTTGTTGTTTGCTTGTTAAAGTCCCCATCTGGTCATTGATCAAACCCCTAAAACTTCCCCTCAATGTATCAGTGACATATTGAAAGCTTGTCCGATGAGAATAATTCCTTCCTGCCTTAAAATGGCTTCGATGTAACTTGCTGCAGCTTGAGCACACCAGCTCACCTACTGTAAAACTACTGTACTCTATGCAATGGCAAGTTCTTATATTGAAGTAATTAAGCAATAGATGTTCAAACAGGAAAGTGATTATGAAAAAGAACAATAATAATAATAGCATAAAGACATTTTTGTCCCCCCATGAAGAGATTTTAATTGCCCTCCTGACATGTTTGAACCACTGCCAAAGGAAACTCAAAGATGCCCAAATGATAAGAATACAGAATAAAAATCATTTGTATATATTTTTAACCACTTTGGGGTTTTGTGTACCCCATCATAGCAGACATTTTTGTTTATTAAAGGGTCAGAAATAAAAGGAAATACATTGACTTCTGTTTTTTTTTCTTTCTTTTACTGTGACTCATTATATTTACTGTCATGTGGAGTCACCACCCAATATTGAACTTAATGTCCTGTCAGTCTGAATTATACATCTGGGGTTTGGAACATTGCATCATTTTTAACAAAAACATCCGTAATCATCACATGCTGCCTGATGCAATTTTTTCTCCTGACAATCACATATAAAGTAGGTCACTCCAGCAGCATGTACAGTAACTCTATTTTGTCTGTGTGCATTTTTAAATAAACGTTTCCTACATGATTTACGTTAGTCAGGCAGAATCAGCTGAACAGAACAATCTCACTGCCATGTTAGCTGCCAACAGAGAGGTTAGAACGAGGTTTGAGGGTACCGGTGGGGTGGGAGAGGTCCGTGTGTTGGTACCGTTGGCACCATGTGGGGTTGCCGACACGTCTTGTGCCCAGGAAAGGTGAGGGGGAGAAAACGGGGGAGGGTGGTGGTGGTCATGATGGTGGTGGTGGTGGTGGTGGTGGTGGTTTGTGAAACTGGGCTGGTTTGTAACCACCGCTGAATTGGATCGCACTGACCCAAATTAGAGGAAGTCTACAAGTCCTGACCCCAACCCTGCCTCAGGCTGTGCAGGGAGGAGGAGGAGGAGGAGGTGGAGGTTTGGGTGGATGTGGCTGGACAAGGTGGTGGGTGGGTGGAGCATACAACAGTGCAGAATAACAACAGAGTGGAACCATGGTGGAGATAGTGTGGGAGTATAGATGACATAAAGAGCTGAAGACATGTTTTAAGATAGCAGCCTAAAACACACTGTATGTCAAATACCAGCTAAATGTTAAACACTTTATTTCATACTTTCAAATAAAATTCTACCATTAGGCCAAATAATTTAACATCAACCATCAGTCTGTGGTGTTCGGTGCATTTCAAGAGTCATTTTTGTGGTGATTTATTTCCCTTTCAATGGATTCTGTTTGCCTAAACCTGAATCTAAAACTTCTGAAGTTTCTGGGATTCTTGAGGAAACTTTTTTTTTATCAATCTGCAGAAAACAGTTACTTTTTAAATTTTCAGCTATGAAATGATATTTTAATAGCAATTTTATGCTAAAATTAAGGTTTTTAAATTTGCAAAAGTCAGCCAAATAAAGCATGTGTTGCATCTATAACTATAATTTCCAGATATCCTAAATCGGAATGTGTAATATGTATAATACCAACAAAATGCAAAATGTTGCTTTATTTTTTTCATACTTTCAAAGAAAATGTTATCCTTTCACAAGTATTGTTTTTGTGTTGCAAATTCCTCTTTTTTTAGTGAATTTGTCTAAACTTGCTTCTAAACCTTCTGAAGTTTATGGGATCCTTCAGGAAACCTTTTTAACAATCTGCAGAATGTCGTTGCCTTTTTTTCATGTCAGTTATGAACTGATTGACTGGCATTAGATTTTTCTAATTTGCAAAAGTTGACTGAATAAATCATGTGCTGCATCTGTAATTATGAGTCCCAGATAGCCTAAATATGTCTTGTGGTATTTACTTATATAGAATTTTGCTGATACATGAACCTTTACAAAACTCACACAGCAAAACTGACTCAGAAATGCACATTACAACATCAGCAGCTTTTTTTTTTTCTTTCTTTCTTGTCATCTACATGATTTAAGGTGTATTTTTTTCTTTAAGCTACAAATCTGAATAAAACTTCAGCTGGAACCATCCATTTTACTCACCAATAGCAGCCTTCACCTCTACAGGCTCCGACTCCGGGGAGAACTGACTGAGTCCAGCGGCGTTCACGGCTCTCACCCTGAACACGTACGTCTCTCCTGTCATCAGGCCGTGGCAGATGAACCTGCAAACAGAGGTAAACAAAAATATATTCACTGGACATGGTTTGCATCAGAATTGTGTACCAGTAAATAAAAAGGGGGGTGAATTTTACCTGGTAGCATTTACAGGCTTGTTGTTGCAGGGCTCCCACACGTTGCTGCCCACCACGCTGCTCTCGATGTAATAACCCACCAGCTCTTTGGCATCATGGGACGCTTCCCAGGACACAACTACTGATGTGTCCGTGTTTCTGGTGGGAACTACTTTTCCTGGGGCAGATGGGATATCTGTGGACAATAGCAGTGTTTATTATCTAATAGTATAACACTGACGCATGTACAGCAATGTGCATAAGTTGAAGGTACTAAAGCAAAGTGACATCAATTATGTCTAAAATCGAATCAGTATTTGTTGTGAGTCGACTTAGTTTGCCTTTAAAATCACTTCTCCTCAGTTCCCTTGCATACAATTTTCAAGATACTTGACAGGTTGGTTGTTACAAGCATCTTGAAGAACTTTAGTTATTCTGTGGATTCAAACTGACCTCCCAATTAGAATTTATTTATTTCATTTATTTAAAACATTCCAAGAAAGTTCTGCAGAGTTCTAACAATATTTTAGATTCCTTTTTTTTAATGTTTTTAGTTTCCAGGATGATCTTCTTGAAGGTAGGCCAATTGAGGATGTTCTAAAAATGTTTGGTGATAACATTGTTATAGAGGAACGTTCTATATGTGTTTCCTCAACAAAAAGGCAAAATGTTCTACTTTTATTATATTATATTAAAGGAATGTTATGAAGCGTTCTGTAATTAAAAATATTCTGTCATCTGAGGCCTTGAAAATAACATTTGGAAAACATTTTTTGAATGTTGGTTTCAGAATGTTCCTCTTTTGTTATCATGGAACATTGTGAGAATGGTTTATAGAAGAATGTTCTATGTGTTCTGCAGAACATCCCCAAAACATCCTCAGAACATTCCAGGCGGCTGGTCCACCTTTGTTAATATTTTACATTACACAGTTTATAGAACATCATTTGTGTTTTTGACGTCTTCTGAATGTTGACATTAAAACATTAGATTAACTTTACAGGAACATTACTGGAAATGAAACATTTTCTTAAAACATTCTAGTCATAAAATCTTTAAAAGCATGTTAGAACTTGTAGGTAATGTTATCCAATGTTGTGGGAATGTTCTCTGCCAGCTCTTCATGATGTTAAGATCCTTGCAGGACTCATTGTTCTCCTTGAGGCTGAAAGTAGCTCTGTCTGATTCTATCTGTAGGTTTGGGTCCACATCTAGAACCCATCAGTCGCCTCCCGTCTAGTGTTGTCTGATAAATAAGAAACCAGTCATCTAAAGCACTTTGTATGTTTGTGTGTGTCTTCTGACCAAGCTTGTCGCCAACTGTGGTGGCCTCCGTTGGGTCGGATGGTTCACCGACACCGGCAGAGTTGCAGCAGCGGACGCGGAAGTTGTAGGATTTCCCCTCAGCGAGATCAAACAGCGCAAAGCGAGGAGACTTTACTGGGATCTCTGTGTTCACCCTCTGCCAGCTGTCTGTGCCGGAGACACACTGACGAACGAAGAGGAAAGTCAAGCTGTCATTGATCACAGGAACACTGGTGGGTCATTATTTCAGACGCAGAAGAAAGGACGGTTTGTAGTTAATGGGGAGAAAAACACAATTTACCTTTTCCACATAGTACATGACACCTTCAAGGCCTTTCTCGCCAGGTGGCTTCCAGCTCAGAACCACGTAGTTTTTGGTTGCTTCTGTCACCTGCAGCTCACGAGGTCGGCCAGGAACGACACCCTCTGATGGTGAGAAGACAAATAATTATCCCACAGCTGCAATATCACCTTAAAGTCACTCACTGGTGTAATTTTTTTATATAAAAAATGTGATTTCCTACCTGCAGGTTCCTCCTCTGTGACAATGATTTGGCCAGTCCAGGGAGCAGAAGTACCTGAGAACAAGAAGATGATCATCAGGTGAATGTTGTCGACCTTGTGATTCTTAGTCATCTACAGGTGTTAATGTTCCTAGATGTTGCTCCAGGGTTTAATGAATACATTTTTAAATCAAAAACTTTAACCAGAATGTCAGTTTTGATGGCGGTAGTGGAAAACCCTTTAAAAACATAACAACAAACAACAAACTGATCATTTACAGTACAAAGAATCCAACTGAACATATAAAATATATAAAGAAATTCCCATTTTATCACACTTTTATGGAACATTAGATTAAAATGTTGACTTTCAAACATTATAAGAGCTTGTAGGTGTTGTTTGCCAACACTGTGGGAATGTTTCCTGCTTCCAGAGTAACTTTTTGCCATCTCTATTAGTTACTCTGCTATTTTGACTTCTAAATATGGATAAAAGTGTCATATTTATGGTTGTCTCTGACCAGACGTACAGTAAAGTCAGACATCCAGGCTGCGGTACCTCTCATGCGGGCTCGGTCAGCTGGATCCATGGCAGCCACCGGCTCAGACACTCTGGACGGGCGGCTCATACCGCTCCTGTTGACGGCTCGGACACGGAAGGTGTAAGATCGGCCCTCCACCAAACCAGTGACTGGGAAACGGGCGAACTTGACCGGAGTGTCATTGCACTGAATCCAGTGGGTGGTTCCAACCTCACACCTGGGCACAAAGATATCAGTCAGTGACTCTCATGTTGGGTGTAACTGGATGAATGAACTGTGCTTAAAGATGCTGTCAGGGTTGTCCAATTATGTTACACATTACAAATGTTTTCAAGATGTTACAGAGGTCTTAATTGACAGAATGCTTTTTATAAAATGGAAAGTTCTGCAACATGAAAGTAATGTTTTGAGAGGAAAGTTCATTCTTAGTTCCCTAAAAGTTCTCCTTAAAGGATGGACAACTGAATACGTTCTTTAATTGTTTGGTGACAACATTGTTAGAAGTCATTCTTAAAACAAAATGTTGCATTGGGAACGTCCTTTCTTTTGTTATAATGCAACATTATAGAATTTTATGGGAACGTTCTTGTTTTGGGGATGTTGTTCAGGCACAACATTCTGCATTCAAAATGTTCCACCTTGCTTAATACATTACATTAAAGAAACGTTTTATTAAAAAAGAACATTAGAGGCCTTGGTAAGATCTGAATGTCGGTTTAAGAACTTCCTTTGTTATCATGGAACATTGTAAGAATGATAATCTGTGGCACTGACAACATCCAAAAACAACATCCTCTGAATGTTGCAAAATGTCTTAAAGGAACATTATTTGAAATCATAGATATCCTTAAAATGCTCTCTGAACATTACATTAATCTTAGCCAGAAACATGATCTGCTAGCTGGGTATTGATCCGTTTATTGTCTTCTTTCCTCTAATTTTTGATACATTCGAAGTTTAAGTTTCTGTTGTTGGTTCCTTTTTTCCTGTGGTTGTATCTCTAATTTGTTTTATAGCTTTCAAAAATTGTGGTTTCATGAGTGCTGGAGGATTTTCCTGAGCAAAAAATTTCTATCTGAAAGGGAGAAAATCAATCACTGGAAAAAATGCAAAATGTCACAGCCTGTTTAAAGCAGATAACAACCTGATAATGACACACGTGTGACCGACAGTTGTTGTTTTGTAAGTTAAACCAACAAGCAGCAGCACACTGACCGACCTGTCCACAAAGTATCCCAGGATGGAGTCGCTTCCATCGACAGCCGGCTGCTTCCAGGTGACAATGATGTAATCCTTGTTGGCATCCAGACAGCGAACATCCAGAGGGGCTCCAGGAGCTCCTTCCACCTCAGCTTCAGCATCTAACAGACACAACACCACCAGGACTGTCAGTACACACACTGAACACGTGTGTTTTATGTTCTTTATTCACCTCTGACCCGACGTCATGTTTACAATAGCGTCACTGGGTGTTTGTTTTGCAGGGAGAGCGGCCTGTGCTGAACCGTGGAACTGCAAGCCTTTGATGCAGGAATGTTTCTGGTCCTCGTGTCAAAGACAAGTTCAGGGCAGGAGGACAGAATTAGCAGCGAGCTGCTCCGGAGCGATAAAGGAGGTGACTCTCAAAGGAACACAATAACGGCTGCAGTCTGCAGGTAAAGTCAGGGCACCGGGGAAAGACTTGGATAGCGTTGCCTATAAGTTCTAATGATGTTTTAAAGACAACGTTCAAAAAAAGACAAAGTTCAAAGAAGATATTAAGGATGTTTCTTGTTTCAAATAATGCTCCATTGAGTTTAAAAGTTAACTAACAATGTTTTTACTGGAACATTTGGAGGATTTTTAAAGGGCCCACCTAGAATTTATTTTTTGTTCTGAGAAAGTTCCGCAAAGTTCTCGTCACGTTTTCAGCAGGAAGTTCTATTTAAGAATGTCCTTCCGAAAGGCAATGTTCTTAAAACATTTTCTTAATGTTGCACTGAGAACGGCCTTCCATTGTTATTATGTAACATTGTGGGAACGTTTTATAGAATAACTTTGTAAACAACAAAATCGCTAAATACATTCTGAGAAAGTTCTGGCAATGTTCTTTTTTTTGTCACCAGAATGTTCTTCTTAATGGCAGGATAAAGTTCTCCAAGGACTTCTCTTTAAAAATGTTCTTAAAACAGTTGCCAAATGTTGCACTGAGAACATATTTCCTTTGTTATCATGTAACCTTATGGGAATGTTTTATAAAAGAACGTTCTATAATCTATAATCTATAAACATCAGCTCAGAACATTGCAGCCAGAATGTTCCACCTTTATTAATAGGTCACATTATAGGAACATCTTATAAAAAAACATTCTGTCATTTGAGACCTCGGGAACATCTTGAAAACATCTTTTGAATGTTGGTTGTTCTTTTGTTATCATGTAACACAATCTGACAACATCCTCTGAATGTTAAAACGTTCTGTCCTCGTTCGCTTTTAACCTCATAGGAACATTATTTGAAAATAGACACTCTTAAAATGTTCTTTAAACATTATATTAAAATGTTTTCTTTAAGAAAATGCTAGAACCTGTAGGCAATGTTACCCAATGTTGTGGGAATGTTCCCTGTTTCCTGTTGCATGATAACAAAAGACAAACGCTTAAAAATATTTGCAAGATGTTCTAGAGGCCTCGGTGTGTGTTTTTATGTGGTTTTAATTAAACATCCTTGTAATGTAATATATATATATTAACAAAGGTGGAACATTGTGTCTCCAATATTCTGAGGATGTTTAGGTGATGTTGTTGAGGGAACACATTGTAGAACGTTCTTCTGTAAAACATTCCTGCAATGTACATGACAACAAAGGAAGGATGTTCTCAGTGCAATAGTCTGCCAATGTTCATGCTTAGAGAAAAGTCTTTAGAGAACTTTATCTTGCCTTTAAGAGGAACATTTGGGGAATTAAAAAAATAGTAAACATTACTTATACTTTGCAGAACTTTCTGGGAGGGAATGTGGAGCTATACAGTCTGTATTTTACAACATTAGAGACAACATCCTACTTTTGAAATGATTAACATTATGTACTTTGTGTTAAAAGTGTAACCAGAAAACATTTTTACTGGGCAATTTAACTAAATTATCACTTCACGTTCCTGACCTGTCGTGATGGGCCTTGCATAAGAGGAGCGAAAACAACAAATGTTCACACAGAGTGCAGAGAAGAAACTGGGCAGCCGGTTGTTTCTCCTTGAAGTAGATATTCACGGTATCTATCTGCACCCACGGACGAGCTCATTCCACCGCTGAGCTCTCTGAGAATAGAACCGCTGCAGCCGGGATCGTATAGCGTTTTGTTATGGAGACTGTACCTGGCGTCTTCTTTTACTGGGCGACCCTGAGCTGCTCTGTTCTCTTCATACTCAACATGAGCAGAAACTGAAGCCTCAAAGGTCAGATTGTCTCTGAAGGCAGCACTGATAAGCTGCACCGACCACTTTTTTCCACAGTATTAAAACAGATGCCAGGGAGTTGCCACTCAGCGGCGTCTCTATTAGAGACATCCTATTTAAAACCGTGAACTCACATTCAGACATTTTGACTGTTAAACGTGGTGTCATCATCATCAGCCAGGGAACACGCTGTGGTGACTTTGACCTTGACCTAAAGAGATACGTGACGAAAACAAGGCCGAGGGAGTCGGGCTGCGTTTAGCTTGTGTTGACAGCAGAGAAAATGTCTGTGGGGAGATACCTGACATATATAACAATCAGAGGCTATTAAGAGTTCAGAGCTGGATTCATTCAAGTGTGACATTTGAAGAATTGTCAGCGTGACTGCGATTGAATTGGCGCTTACGTAGCTTAGATTGGAGGCAACACTGGCTCAAGATCTGGATTATTCACATGATTGAATCAAACAGCAGGAGAGTTGTGGCTCTAGGATGGTTCTATATTGCGGTAATTGTAAAACTATACAAATTAGATGCACACACTAAGCTACAGTTTAAAGTCCTGCTGTGTCCAGTGAAGTGAGAATCTGAAGGGAATTGTCTTAACCTGTTTATTCTCTGAACCCTAAAACCCAGCAGTGAGTTTTAAAAAGTATGAAACCATTTATCAAAGCCAGAAACTGTAGAAACAGAAAAAATCATCCGACTTTCCGATGGTCCTTGAACTAAACATCTGTGCCATGAGGCTCCATCAGGACAAATAACCAAATCTAAGCATAAAATTGAGATATTTAGTCAAAATCACTTTATTCTATGTTTCATTTCAAAGTTCACAGAAACTGACTTTTCAGGTTTCATTTTTTTTTCAATTTTGTTAAAACAAATAATCAAAGAAATTCAACTTTCTGGGGGTATTTTTGTTTTGTTGATCTAAATTTGTGGCATTATAGCTGGGTATGACCTCCCTCTACTTCTAATCATCTGTTTCCATAGAGGTGCAGGACTTCATGTAGCAGTGAAAATGAGCTCACAGTGAGTTTCAGAGGGTTAGTGACAAGAAAACCATCAGGTAGACGGTACCAACCTCTGACAAAGATGTAAGCAGAGTAGGTTTCATATCCAGACTTGGTGGTGACCCGCAGAGTGTAGAGACCCTCGTCCTCCTTGTTGAGGTGTGTCAGGGTCAGCGTGGCTCGGTCTCCACTCCAGTGCATGTTGGCCCACTTAGAAGCACTCAGCAGAACATCTGAAAATAAAGATGCAGCAGTACAGGTATGAGACTGGAGGGATGGTTTAAAAGTGAGTTAATGTGGCAGAAATAATCATCAGAGCTGTCTACGTACCGTCTCTGTACCACTCGACCTCTGGCTGGTAGCGGTGCAGAGCGGGGTAGATGATGACCGTACACCCCAGACTCATGGTCTCGCCCTCTCTTCCAAACGACACACCAAACTTATCCACAATGTGAGTCTGGAAGGTGATGCCGTACTCAGACACCGGGCCCTCTGTGGATAAACCATGACAGAGTCAGAGCTTTGGCTTCTATTATCATTACCAAACCATTAACCTCCACACATACCACTGGAAAGGCTACTGTGATCACATCAAGAGGAAAGACACAACTTTAAAGACTATAAAAGAGACAGAACATCATCACATCAATGATCAAATCCACAGAAAACCCAGAAAAAAAACATGAACAATAAGCTACATGAAAACTTTTGCAGCCAGACAGGAAGAAGCTGGAGAAGTGTCTCAGATGTGCAGGAGTGAAGGACANCTCACCAATAGCAGCCTTCACCTCTACAGGCTCCGACTCCGGGGAGAACTGACTGAGTCCAGCGGCGTTCACGGCCCTCACCCTGAACACGTACGTCTCTCCTGTCATCAGGCCGTGGCAGATGAACCTGCAAACAGAGGTAAACAAAAATATATTCACTGGACATGGTTTGCATCAGAATTGTGTACCAGTAAATAAAAAGGGGGGTGAATTTTACCTGGTAGCATTTACAGGCTTGTTGTTGCAGGGCTCCCACACGTTGCTGCCCACCACGCTGCTCTCGATGTAATAACCCACCAGCTCTTTGGCATCATGAGACGCTTCCCAGGACACAACGACTGATGTGTCCGTGTTTCTGGTGGGAACAACTTTTCCTGGGGCAGATGGGATATCTGTGGACAATAGCAGTGTTTATTATCTAATAGTATAACACTGACGCATGTACAGCAATGTGCATAAGTTGAAGGTACTAAAGCAAAGTGACATCAATTATGTCTAAAATCGAATCAGTATTTGTTGTGAGTCGACTTAGTTTGCCTTTAAAATCACTTCTCCTCAGTTCCCTTGCATACAATTTTCAAGATACTTGACAGGTTGGTTGTTACAAGCATCTTGAAGAACTTTAGTTATTCTGTGGATTCAAACTGACCTCCCAATTAGAATTTATTTATTTCATTTATTTAAAACATTCCAAGAAAGTTCTGCAGAGTTCTAACAATATTTTAGATTCCTTTTTTTTAATGTTTTTAGTTTCCAGGATGATCTTCTTGAAGGTAGGCCAATTGAGGATGTTCTAAAAATGTTTGGTGATAACATTGTTATAGAGGAACGTTCTATATGTGTTTCCTCAACAAAAAGGCAAAATGTTCTACTTTTATTATATTATATTAAAGGAATGTTATGAAGCGTTCTGTATTAAAAAATGTTCTGTCATCTGAGGAAAATAGCATCTGGAAAACATTTTTTGAATGTTGGTTTCAGAATGTTCCTCTTTTGTTATCATGGAACATTGTGAGAATGGTTTATAGAAGAATGTTCTATAATGTGTTCTGCAGAACATCCCCAAAACATCCTCAGAACATTCCAGGCAGCTGGTCCACCTTTGTTAATATTTTACATTATACATTTTATAGAACATCATTTGTGTTTTTGACGTCTTCTGAATGTTGACATTAAAACATTAGATTAACTTTACAGGAACATTACTGGAAATGAAACATTTTCTTAAAACATTCTAGTCATAAAATCTTTAAAAGCATGTTAGAACTTGTAGGTAATGTTATCCAATGTTGTGGGAATGTTCTCTGCCAGCTCTTCATGATGTTAAGATCCTTGCAGGACTCATTGTTCTCCTTGAGGCTGAAAGTAGCTCTGTCTGATTCTATCTGTAGGTTTGGGTCCACATCTAGAACCCATCAGTCGCCTCCCGTCTAGTGTTGTCTGATAAATAAGAAACCAGTCATCTAAAGCACTTTGTATGTTTGTGTGTGTCTTCTGACCAAGCTTGTCGCCAACTGTGGTGGCCTCCGTTGGGTCGGATGGTTCGCCGACACCGGCAGAGTTGCAGCAGCGGACGCGGAAGTTGTAGGATTTCCCCTCAGCGAGATCAAACAGCGCAAAGCGAGGAGACTTTACTGGGATCTCTGTGTTCACCCTCTGCCAGCTGTCTGTGCCGGAGACACACTGACGAACGAAGAGGAAAGTCAAGCTGTCATTGGTCACAGGAACACTGATGGGTCATTATTTCAGAGGCAGAAGAAAGGACGGTTTGTAGTTAATGGGGAGAAAAACACAATTTACCTTTTCCACATAGTACATGACACCTTCAAGGCCTTTCTCACCAGGTGGCTTCCAGCTCAGAACCACGTAGTTTTTGGTTGCTTCTGTCACCTGCAGCTCACGAGGTCGGCCAGGAACGACACCCTCTGACGGTGAGAAGATGAATAATTATCTCACAGCTGCAATATCACCTTAAAGTCACTCACTGGTGTAATTTTTTTATATAAAAAATGTGATTTCCTACCTGCAGGTTCCTCCTCTGTGACAATGATTTGGCCAGTCCAGGGAGCAGAAGTACCTGAGAACAAGAAGATGATCATCAGGTGAATGTTGTCGACCTTGTGATTCTTAGTCATCTACAGGTGTTAATGTTCCTAGATGTTGCTCCAGGGTTTAATGAATACATTTTTAAATCAAAAACTTTAACCAGAATGTCAGTTTTGATGGCGGTCATGGAAAACCCTTTAAAAACATAACAACAAACAACAAACTGA